TGGCTGGCTCGCCTCCCCCTGCCCGTTCCCTCCCTCCCACCTCCTTCCATTCATACCTGGAGCTTTCCCTGCCCGGCGGGTTCTCCTCGCGCGTCCCAGACTTGCTTTAGCTGCCTGAGTCCTTCTAACCAACCGCAGGCAACTGAAAACAAGCCCGACACACAGAGGGGGCGAAGCGGGATCCGGTCTGAGGACAGCAGGGCAGCTCGTGGGCCAGCAACTGTGCCAGGCTCGGAGCCCAGCTCCCCGATTCCCGGCCAGAGAAGATACCGGGGTCCAACCTGTATCCGAGCAGTTAGTTCTTTCTTCCCTGCAATGTCCTGTGGTGACCAGGGCGTGGCACAAAGGAGGCCAGGGTCAGAGGGCACCAGGCCAGCCGACCACTGAGCTCAGCCGTTGTTGAGGGAAAGGACAGGACCCGCTCCACCAGGGCAGCCCGCTCCCGCCATGGCCAGCGCATGGAGCCTGACTGCCCTCTCCCCCACACCTGGGCACAATGGGAGCAAAACCCAGGCATCCAGACGGGGGAGCAGCTTACACTCGTTCTGCATGGGGGTACCAGGCCGAGGCAGGAAGCAAAGAACAGGGACTCCTGTGGGGGTGCAGGGCAGTGCTGAGCCAGGGTGCGGGGCCGCAGGTGATGGGGGGGGGGCTCCTGGGCCACTCCAGGGCAGAGATGAGCCAGGCTTTGGAGAACAGGAGGAAGATGCAAAACTGCACAAATACCTACCATGCCCAGATGCCAGGGTCCTGATCTCCCACGCCGCCTGTTTCAGCTCCTGGCCCTCCCGACAGCCTGGGGGTTGGGACTAGGACAGGAATAACAGGGCTGGGGGTGCAGGCCAGAGCTGAGACACTTCAGCAGAGCTTCTGGGGGGGGGGGGATGTGGAGCTGAGCTAGCGGGGGAGCTGCGGGATGGGATTGAGGGGCATCGGCAGGGCTGGGTACATGCCAGGGGCAGTCCAGGGCTGACATAGCAGAGGGGGTGGGGTAAAGGTTGGCATTGAGGGGTGTTGGCAGAGCAGTGGGGGGTGGAGAGCCCAGGGCTGGGATAGCAGGGGGCTAAGAGCAGGAGTGGAGGGGGGGTCAGCACAGCTTGGGGGGGTATTTGGGCAGCACCTTCCCATACCAGTCCAGTCTCTCCGCAGTGCTGGCAGCATCTCACCGTCCCTCCGGAGCAGGAAATCCATGGCCAGAAAAAAGGGGGGGAAGCTGGTGGGTCACCTGGAGCCCCCCAGCCCTGCAGGGAAGTGTCCTGGCCTTAGAGCAGCGGAATGAGGAAAGTCCCAGCCCAACAGACTCCAACCCTCCTCTCCCAGCGCGCCAGGTCTCCAGCTCCCCTAGGAACAGCGGCGCCCTGGGGATCAAAGCGCGAGCCGAGCCGTGCCGTGCCGTGCCGCCTGCCGGGGCTCCACTCACCGGGCGGAGCGGGACCCGAAGGCTGACGTGTCCCTGGCCGGCGCGGGGCCGCTCAGGTGCGCTACCTGCCCGGGCAGGGTGGGCCGCAGCGCCGGCTGTGCAGGAATGTGTTTGTGGAAGGGGAGAGGCAGCCCAACACTTCCTTATAGGAGCGGTGGGGGCAGGGTGTGCTGGGGCTGGGGAGCCGGGTTGAGCCGGCAGCTGGGGGAAGGACGGGGGGGCTGGTTTCCCGGAGGGGGGGTGGGGCTGGTTTCGGGGGGGGTGTGGAGAGGGGGCGGGTGTTGCAGGATCATTTTAGAAACCGGGATTCCCGAGCCATGGGGTTAGGGGCAGCTGCTCCCCCTCTGTGTCCTGAGAACAGGGAGGCCCCGATCCTCAAAGGTGCCCAACTGCCCTTGAAATCAGCGCAGGTCTGGCACCCAACTGCCTCGGAGGGTCTAGGCCTAAACCCTTCCTCTCCGGGGCCTGGGACCCTTCGCGGTGGGGCAGATGGAGGAGCTGAGGCAGAGAGAGAACCCAGGAGTCCTGGTCCCCTGGTTTAGCCCCTGTACGTTCAGGGATGCCCCGAGCGAGCAGCGCCAGAGTGTCACGGGGGGTGTTTGCAGATGAGTGCCCAGCGGGTGCCCAGCGCCTGGGGGTGTCCGCCCGGGCACCTCCCTCCCTGTACTGCCGAGGGGCAGGTGCTGGGCCCTGTGCGGGGAGGGGAGCGGTTACCCCGGGCTCCGCGCGGGGGTCTCTCTGCCAGGGGGTGACCCAAGGACCCCAAAGGGGGATCTCCAGGGGGACTTTACCCGCCGCGGCTCCGAGCAGGGGGCTGCCCGCGCTCCCGGGGCGGGGCGGGGGAGGCGGAGCCCGGCCGGCCCGGAGCCGGATCCCGGTGCGGATGTGACAGCGTGGCCGGGGCAGCCGGGCCGGGAGGCGCAGACATGGGGCGCTCGGCCGCGGGTGGGGGCCCCCCGGACCCCTCGTGTGTGGGGAGGGAGATTGACCCGGGGGGGGTTACGGGGGCTCCACCTTCTGGCTGGTCTGCCCGGGGAGCCGGGCTGCGCCCCACACGAGATGTCCAGTAACCCCCCGCCCCCGGTGCAGTCCCTAGTGTCCCCAGATGTGCCCCGGCCCCAGGGAGGGGCTGCCTCAATGCCCCCTGGACTAGCCCCTAATGCCCCCAGGGAATCCCCTCGTCATCCCCAGGGAATACCCCTAATTGCCCCACAACTCATCCCTAACTGCCCCCCCGGATCACCCCTAACTGCCCCCCCGGATCACCCCTAACTGCCCCACAAACTCACCCCTAACTGCCCCCCACTGTGGTTCACGTGACCATTTACTGCTTCTGTTAGGGTTATTCCCCCCCTCCCCAGCCCACCTGCGACCTTCTGCCCCCTCACGCCCCGCCCAGCCCCGTCCCCTGGGCCAGGGCTGATGGTGCCAAGGGCAGGCGGGAGGTGTGTGATAGAGCCCAGGGTCCTCATTCACCCCCACCCGCAGGTCGGCGGCGCTGCTCCCTCCAGCCCCTGGCTCCCCTGGCCTCGGGGTTATCTGCCGCTGGGCCCAGCGGGTGTTGAAGCCGCGGAACCGGGGTGGGGTGGGGTGGGGTGGGGTCTGTCTGTGGCCGGTGTCCATAGGGGCGCCAGTCCCCGCGCTGTTTGCACTGTTCCCGCGTCTCTGTTTCTCTTCAAGCCTCAGCTGCGGGAGTCATGGGACTTTGGGAGACTCTCGGCTTCCATGGAAAGAAAAGGAAGTTCCTCGCCCTCGGGGCTGCAGCGAAAAGCCTGGGAACCTGCCCCCCGCGGACTCGAAAGCAAATCAACAAACACAACCCACTGGATCCTCTGTGAAATCTCCTGGTTTTTAAGCCAGTCTCATGGGCTGGGGGCCCTGGCTGGCGATTTTCTCAACGCTTGGGATTGGTCCCGCTGGTTCGTGTGTGGGCGCCCCTGCCCGCCCCAGGTGTGCAAAGAAACTCCGCTCCCTGCCACTGGCCCTGCCTCAACCCCCCCCCCCCCCCCCCCCCCCGTCTGCTGGCCCTGCCCCAGACCCCCCCACACACATACCCCGCCCCCATCCGCTGCCCCTGCCGCCTCCCCATCCACTTCTGTACCCAGCCGCTTGCTCCAGCTGCCCTGGCTCGGTCTCTCACCCACCCTCGCCCCACATGCTCCCCTCATCCAGCACCGGCCTCCTGCCCGGCTGCAGCGTCCCTGTATCCCGGGCTCTCGTCCCCCGCACCCTTCCCCTGGGACGGGTGATTGCCGCAGCACCGTGCGGCCAAACAGGACTCGAGGGTGCTGGGCTCAGACACGTGCTGGGATCAGAGCCACCGCCCCTCAGCGGCCACACTCCTACGTCAGCCCCTGCCGGGCCCCACCCAAGGCCCAAGGGCCCCAGGCTTGAGCCCTTTCTTTGGGGTAGGCAGTATAGGGCTCTGGCTTTGCCCGCGCCTGGCTTTGGATGTTACGGGTGAAGTGATCTGGGCAGTCGCTGTGTGTGTGAGAGAGAGAGAGAGAGAGCGCACTGCCCTCTACTGGCTGCACTCAGAACTGCTCCACCATGTGTCAGACTCTATACTGCTAACAGCGAAGGGGATTCTCCGTTAGAGCAGGTGCTTTCTGGAGAGGGGGGATCTGTCCCAGCTGTTGCGAGGTTCACAGCAGGGCGCCCGATGGTAACCCGGAGGGGCTAAGTGGCCGCTGAGTTGCACTAATTGGCAATCAGAAAGGCCGGCAGGTGTGCGTGGGATGGAGGCAAATTGGCCCCGGCGGGAGGGGAAGGTGACCCCCCCAATTGAGCTGGGAGGGGAGAACTGAGCTCGTGTGCCCAATGCCTCCGAGGGGGCTGCAGACCCGGTGACCCCCTCCCCCACCCGGTGTGCGGCTGGTACAGCTCGCCGAGACTTCCGGCGCCCGAGTGTCACTGAGCAGTGCGTGTGCACCCGTGTGCGTGCAGCGGCCAGAGTGCGCGTGCAAAGCCAGTGCTCCGGTGCACACTCACATCCTCACACTCACGCCCGGCTGGTCCGCACTGGGCAGGGAGGGAGGGTCGGGCTGTGGCCTAGGGCAGGGGCAGCAGGGGGACTCCAGGGCTCTTTTGGTGCCGACCCCGTTTTGCATCCCTCGCGGGGTGGGGAGGAAAAGAGTCGGACCAGATGCTCCAATGGCCCCGTCAGGCCTCTTCGGCTCTAGGTTTCTGCCCGCTCCTCAATGTCCCTTTCTCCAGGTGCCCGCCCCCGTCTGGGCTACGAGCCCGGCTGCTGCAGAGACCTGGGGGGCAATGGGGGGGCTCCCTTTTCATTGCTCCGTTCCCTGCCCACCGGCCTCCCCATCCCGCCCAGCCATGAGCCTGAGGGTTTGCTGGTGCTTTGCGCTCTCGGGGGGCGCAGCGTTGGCGGGGGTCCCCCCGGAGCGGTTGGTGTTTTGTCCCCGTGACAGAGAAGTGGAAGAAAGAGGCCGCGGAGGGGCCGTTCCCCCGCCCCCGGCCCGGCCCAGCGCCCGGCGCAGCTTTTCCCCCAGACAGAGACGCGAGCGGCCGAGCCTGGTTCGAGACGCCTTTATTCGGTAGCGGGCGCGGGGCCGGCCCCGGCTCAGTGCTGGACGCGGCGGATGGACTGGACCTGGTTGGTGTGGGCCTGTGAGCTGAACTCTGTGTACTTCGGGAACTCGCCGTTCTGCCGGTCCCGCTCCAGCACGTACTGGTAGCCCCGGTACCCCGGGTACTGGTACGCGACCCACCTGCAGGGGGCAAAGCATCGCCATGGGGCAGAGCCCCCGCCACAGCTCCCCCCTCCCTCGGGCCCTGGGCCAGCCCCCCTGAGCGGCCGGGGGTCCCGCTTCAGGGCTGGGGAAGGGGGATGCTCTCCCCACCCTTACGGGGTCTCCCACTTCCTCCCTTTGGGGTTGACAAACAGGCACCCTCCTCTGAGCCTCTCTTGGCCCCCCTCGAATTCGGGTCCCCTTCCTCCCCCAAATGCTCGGCCCCTCCCCCACGCTCCCCCACTCGCAGTGCAGGTCTCAGCCGCAACCTCCCAGCCGAGCTCAGGGACCGGGATGGTGCATAGGGCCTAGTGAATCATAGACTCATAGAATATCAGGGTTGGAAGGGACCTCAGGAGGTATCTAGTCCAACCCCCGGCTCAAAGCAGGACCAATCCCCAACTAAATCATCCCAGCCAGGGCTTTGTCAAGCCGGGCCTTAAAAACCTCTAAGGAAGGAGATTCCACCATGTCCCTAGGTAACCCATTCCAGTGCTTCACCACCCTCCTAGTGAAAAAGTTTTTCCTAATATCCAACCTAAACCTCCCCCACTGCAACTTGAGACCATTCCTCCTTGTTCTGTCATCTGCCACCACTGAGAACAGTCTAGATCCATCCTCTTTGGAACCCCCCTTTCAGGTAGTTGAAGGCTGCTATCAAATCTCCCCTCATTCTTCTCTTCTGCAGACTAAACAATCCCAGTTCCCTCAGCCTCTCCTCATAAGTCATGTGCTCCAGACCCCTAATCATTTTTGTTGCCCTCCGCTGGACTCTTTCCAATTTTTCCACATCCTTCTTGTAGTGTGGGGCCCAAAACTGGACACAGTACTCCAGATGAGGCCTCACCAATGCCGAATAGAGGGGAATGATCACGTCCCTCGATCTGCTGGCAATGCCCCTACTTATACAGCCCAAAATGCCGTTAGCCTTCTTGGCAACAAGAGCACACTGTCGACTCCTATCCAGCTTCTCGTCCACTGTAACCCCTAGGTCCTTTTCTGCAGAACTGCTGCCTAGCCTAGTGCATAGGGATCAGGATGATGTATAGTGTCCGGGACGGTGAATAGGGCCTGGGGTGGTGCATAGGGCCCAGGATGATGCATAGGGATCAGGATGATGTATAGTGTCCGGGGTGGTGCATAGGGCCCTGGATGGTGCATAGGGCCCAGGATGATGCATAGGGACCGGGGTGGTGCACAGGGACTGCAATGAAGTTTAGTGCCCAATCCAGCCAGACGCAGTGCACCCTGGATGGCCAGTGACCCCAGTGGATGTTGGGGGTGCTGAGCACCCTACCAGCCAGGCCCAGTGAGGTGACTGTCCCAGGGTCACACAGCCCAGGGCACCCCACGGCTGGAGGCTACTTACGCTCCCGAGTTCACCTTGATAGAAGCCACCTCTTTGTTGCCCCAGCCCATGGCCTGCAGCGAGGGGAAGTCGTCGCTCAGCTCAAACTTCCGCCCCTGGAAGTTCTCCGCCTCGTAGAGGGTGACTTTGCTGTCGCTGTGGTTCTGTGCAGGGAGGAGGCAGGTCAGGACGGGGCCCCCAAGGCAGACGGGGCTCCCCGCTCACCCCCTCTCCAGCCCCCTCTTCTCTCGTGTCCTCTGGGCTCTGTGCCCAGCCCCTCTCCCCTGGCAGCGCTGCTCTGCCTACGGCCCCTGCCATTCGGGGGTAGAGGGGCTGCACCCCCCCAGACCTGTGGCAAGGCAGCCATACCCCACTCAGTCAGCGGGGTGCCCCGGGGTGCTCCTGACAGCACCTGGTCTTTCTTTCTCAGCTGCCTCCTTAACTTGAAATCACCGGCCTCGGCTGGAGACGTCCTGCCCCGGCGCCCAGTGCGGAGGGGCAAACGGTGCCAAGGGCTGGGCTGACCGGGCTGGGCCAGGGAAACAACAAAGGGTCCCACGCTGGTGCCAGGCGCTGCACGGACCCAGCACGAGCCGGCCCTGCCCCAGTGACAGGGACAAGGCGGACGAAGCTGAGACCCCCCGGGGAGCTGAGACCCCCAGGGTCACGCGGGGAGGCAGGGGAGGGTTCCCTCGAGTCCCAGCCCAGTGTGTTCACCACCAGGTCAACCTCTCCAGCTACCCGCCCCTGTGTCCTGCTCCCCATTCCTCTCCCCTCCCAGAGACACCTGCCCCAGAGCCGCCCGGGGAGCCGGGGGCCGGAGCTGCAGGGCCCTGCTGGCCAGGGCCCTGTCTCACTCCAGAGGATGCCCACGTGCTTGCCTCTCCCGGTGCCCGTGCCTGCCTGGGGGATGCGCTGGTACCCCGTGCCAGGGCGAGCCAGAGGCAGGCGAGCGAAGATGCCAAACGCCCAGCGTTCTCGGGCCTGAGCTGTCTCTGCTACAGAGGGACGATGCAGACGCTCCGGACAGCCGTGGCCTGCGTCTGCCCATTGGGCACCGAGAGCCGGGGTTGGTTCTTGGCCCGTCTGGGTGCAGGCTGGCTGGCAGACTGGCGGGCACCGAGGGGTTAATCCCGAGAACCGCACTAGACGTGGTGCTGTCGGCCCCCCCCTCCCCCCGTCCACGTTGTTCCCCACCGAGCAGCCCTGCCAGCGAGCCGCGATCTTATCTGAGCCCCTTTATTAAAGCCTGAGCATATCTGCCTGGCGGTTATTAAAACGCCGGGGCGGGAGGCGGTGCTGGAGCAGGGGACGTGCCAGGGTTTAAAGCCCCCACGTCTCTGCAGATGGCGCGATAGGGCCGCAGCCTGGCA